CCTCAGATACTCTGGTATGGCTGAGAGTGGGCAGAATTCGCTCTCCCTCTCGAGACGCCACTACTAAGGAATTCCTACTCATTACCTTCTCATGACAGAGGTACTGTTTACGAAATTGAGAGAACGAGAAGTGAGTGTCCGGTGCTTTAACCAGGTTGATGCGCTTGCAGTATCCACCTAAAGCAATTGTTAGAAAACCTTCATTCCAAACTAATATTGTGCCCCAAGATTCTGATGGAACGGATAGCGCATAAACATACTGTTGGCCGCTGGCTACCATGGGAACTGCATTTCTTTACGTTGCTCCACTACCTTACGGATTAAAAATGTAGGTTAGAGGCTTTGGCGTAGCTCAATCACAAATTCGATAATTTATATGGCGCATAAATATTTAGATGACGAACGAATGTTTAAATCAGTAAATAAACCTATGGTAAATATACTGGCACAAAAAATCAGAAAAAATTCGGAAAATTAAGGCATTCTTGCAAATGAAACTATGAGTGAAAAACGAGCTAAGACTGTTTTATCTTTTGTCATCAATATAAAATAAAATAGAAACAAGATATTTCTGGTTCGCATCTATAGATCTAGTTAGATAATGAATGCATTCACTCGATATAATCGTCAAAGCTTTTAAATAAGTGATAGAATATTAAAACTGCCATTTTTAAAGTCAAAACAAGTTATTTGTGTTCAAAACTAAACAAATCTCCGTAAAACAGTTTTCTTCTTGTTGATAGAGTTAACCCAGAAATCTTATTTTTACTAAAAGACAATTTATTTGCTGTCTGAAGAAGTACTTACTTACGCCTGTTGCCCCCCAACGTAGCATAGACAGCTGGCCAAAATCCTCCAACCTATTCTGTCCAAGGCTTTCCTTTCCAGGCCTGTCCAATTATTGTTCATTCTTCTTATGTCTGTCTCGATTTCTCGGTGCAATGTGTTCCTTCCTCTTTTCTTTTGACCTTGAGGATCCTCAGTGAGTGTTTGTCCCGTGACGCATTTAAGTGCTTTCCTCTATGTGTGTCCTATCCACTTCCAGAGCCTCTTCCTGATTTCCTCCTCCACTAGAATCTGGTTTGTTCTCTCTTATAGTAGATTGTTGCTAATGATGTCTGGCCAACGAATCCGAAGTATTTTGCGAAGATAACTGTTAAGGAATACTTGTATCTTCTGGAGGATGGCTTTCGTAGTTCGCCAATTTCCCGCTCGATATAATAGGACTGTCTTGACATTTGTATTCAGAGTCGTGACTTTGGCGTTGGTTGACAGTCCTTTTGAGTTTCAGTTGTTATTCGGCGGTCGAAATGTAGCCCTTACTTTGCCGATCTGCGCCCTCACATCTGCATCGGATCCACCTTTTTCGTCGATGGCACTGCTCAAATATGTAAAGGTTTCGACGTCCTACAAGGCATCTCCATCCAGAATGATTTGGTTGGCGCATGTTGTGTTGTTTCAGAGAATCTTGCTTTCCTCTTTATTAGAGCAACACATATAAGCGAACAATATTGTTTTCGATCAGATCGTCATCAATATTGTTCGCTTATATGTGTTGTTCTAATTTCCTCTTTATGTATGTTGAGGCCTACTGCTGCTGAGGTTGCTGCTACACTGATCATCTTCTCTTCTTCCTATAAAGTATACTCATGTTATGAAAAAAAGAGGAAGTACGTAAACAAATATAAATTCATCCTGATGCTGATTTTTAATGTAAGACTTCTGAAAATTAGAACTGAGAAGCTTTGCTGGTAGTGATTCTAAATAAGTATTTAATTTAGGCAAAGATTTATGCATTTGGTTAATATAATGTATATTGTTTTGTATTGTTGTTTCTGATAATTTAATTTTTTCATTACAGAGTTATGGAGATCGTTGTTTTACATTGAAGTCGTCAGTCAATTATTGTTACACCACCATTAGAAACCAAGAATCACTGGACGGCCGTTTTGTCCCGGTTTAGGACTCATCAGCAGTGTGCATCTACCACTCCTGATAACCGCAGAAATCGAACAGAGGACCTACGGTTTCGCGCATGAAATCCTAACCCACTAAGCCGACAAACAACAATGTTAGTGTCTAACTTTAATCAATCCAACGTAATGCGTAACCTTACCCACTGTCTTTGGTGGGTAATCGCTTACACCCGACAGGACTGAACTTCACTGATCACGGCTTCTCACTAGAACTCCGAGAATTTCCTCACGAAGCTAGTCTCCAGTGAGCACATTTCATGATTTTTCACTATAAAGTTGTAGAGATCGTTGTTTAGCACTGAACTCATGAACCGGTGAGCAGTGGGGGTCAACCCTGTAGGGTGTAGAAAGTGGGTGAGGTTGCGCAAAATCCTTATATTGATGAGAGTTGGAAGCCGGCTCATTGGTCCAGACATCAGGCGTTCGCGCAAGACCGAAGGTCCTCTCTCCGATTTCTGTCAGTAGCGGTAGTCATGGATGCACACTGCTGATGATTCCCACTCCATGACGAAACGGCAGTTCAGTGCCTCCAAGTTTCTAATGACGGTCTGACAATGATTTATTCACAATTTAAATGGACACTTTAATTTGCAAAATTAAATTTGTAGAACTAGATAAATCTCACAGTATCACATGTTTAATAACAAAACATTTAGAAAACTGACGTCAATTTTGGAAGCAAAGAATATAATAAAGTTAGAGCTATTTATTTCTACCTTATATTTCTTGAACACTTTTCCGAATGAATTTTTAATTATCGTGTATGTGTTATAACATAGAGTTTCACTGTTATCGAATCCATTACGGTATTGTGGACAATGCTTTCAGAAAGTTAAAATATATTTGTTGAAAAAATTAATGAACAACTAAATAAAAACAAATATGTACTACCTAAGAAAATTCAGAACAACAGATTTTCAAATTTCAGTATCAGTAATATATATTATGCAATAGACATCACATGCTCATTAAGGATTTCATTAACAGGGTGTATGAAAAAGTTTTCGAAAGTGCCATAACTAACTCGAAAAGAATATTTTCTTCGCTTCTATGTTTTCTTTCTTTCTAACGAAATATCAGTTTAGCTTTTTGATTTGTCTAAAACCGTAGAAAACCATTAAGCCATAAAAAGGCCGCAGTTTTAAAATTAAGTAAAGAAAATTGAAACGTATTTCAGGAAATTAAATTTATTCGTGAATAACTTTTAAACATTTGAGAAAAACTAATTTTCTGTCTAATTCATAGGATACTTCTACTCTTGATTATTTGTACACACATTGGTAAAACATGAGCTTATAGAACTAGAGAAGTGTCAGTTTGTAAGGCAGCTAATTTATACCTATTTAAATGTGTCCATTTAATCAATACGTTGTTTCTAAATTTGTCGAGAAATTTTCACATTAAGCATCATCTTATTGGAAACGTTAGATCCCCAAAAATCACTTGATAAAGGTCCTAATTTCGGATTTATATTTTCGAGCATGGGCTGATCAGTTGATCTTGAGATTAGATTGCACACTCACTAGATCCTTGACTGTTACTGGTGGATGTATTAATTTAAGTACGTTATCTTTGTGGTCTCCTTAGGATGTTTCTATGATGTATAAATATATTGGATTCGTATGCTTGTGAATCTCATTGTTTCTGCATGCCTGTACAATACACTTTCTACGCTACATCAAGGCTTTTTTATATCTTTAGCAGGACCGGGGTCAATCGAATCAGAATAGCCTGGGTCATTTATCCTCGCTCTCGTTTACCGAGTAAGGTGAACTCGTAATAGTCTTAAGCATGTCAATTGACGAGCATATCACATTGTATGAAATATTTCCAAGAATTCTATTACAACGATTTATGAATTCTATTTTTATATTGAATAATGTCTAAAATTCCTTGTAATCACTTCAGTCAATTCATAAACATGAATACAAACTAAAATACGACGTGGAATAGACCAAATGAGATTGGTTTCTTCTGTTTTCATAGACTAAAACTATTAGTACTGGTTGGCAAATGAATTTCATACGTAAAGCTTTCAATATTTTCCGCAGTTAGATTTTAACTCTTTTATTCTGGTGAGTGAAGTTAAATAACAAAAATGATAAACATTTGATAGATCGGTTCATATGAACTGGAAACTCAAGAATAATTTGAGATTTTTTTTCGGAAAGTTTGTTATTGATTGAATTACAATAATCACCAGCTTCTGTCATAATTAAAAATAACAAATTTGTTAAGACTACTCATAGATAAACGAGAACATGTGATTGACTTTCTTCAACTTGGATACAAATCTGCTTTGATTCGTACGGATTACCTAATGACTTTGTAATTAGTATGATAAAATACTATCATATAATAAAATATATTATAAATATATATATATTTCATTTAAGTATACATATACGATAATGCTCGAATAAAATGAACATGTTATTTATTGTTAAGAAATTGTACAAACTGTATATATTAAATTTTTTTTCCAATAATGATAAACAGTTTTAGTAAGTAATCATTGAAATCATTGTGCATTGAATGCTTTTTTAAAACACACCTTTCAAGGTCATATATTAGTATACATCAAAAAAAGACAAATGATAAGGCAAATAATATGAAATAGTTATACAATTTGATGTTTACTACTTATATTAATATGAAATCATGAAAGTTATTCTGAACAAATCAAAATATTTTCTTATTTCAGATATAACCAAGAAAAACAAACAAACATAAAACAGGTGGAAAATCAATCGTTTATTATCATCTTCAGAAAGAAGATGAAGAAGAAAAATTCGAAACGTAGACATGAATGAATAAAAATGTTCAAATTGTCATTCCATTGATGATGACTTTCATAATTAATTTTTCAAAATAGAAATTATTATTATGATTAATAGTTAGAGTTGAAATTATTTATCATCATTTGAGATAATATATATATACACATATATATATATATATATATATATATATATATATATATATATATATATGTGTATATAACAATAACCTTTGATAGAATAATGAGAATAGAGTTTTTTTTGTTTTTTTTCCATAATTAACGACAAGCACAACTTTCTACAACCATATCTTCATAAACTCTAAGTACAACATCACCATTTTGACTATGATATAATAATGATTGTGATGATAATTGATGCGGTACACAACATGGACCAGAAATACTAGCTACATCTAACAAATGTACTAATTGAAGCAGAACAGCATGATTAGTTGTATTGTAATGAGTGGATAATGGAAACGGACATTGACCTAGACAATAACGTGCATTATATGCTTGTGGTGCAATCACCCAACCAGCCCAACCAACAGCATCAAAATTAATGATTAATTCACGTCGTTGACATGTTGTATCAAGGTAATGACGATTATTCGTTTGTAATGTATTTGAATGATATGATCTTGTTATGTCATATTGATGTTGTTGTTGTTGTTGCTGATGTTGCTGGTGTTGTGATTGATGATGATGATGATTACGATTATTATCATAGGAATTAGTTTTGATTTTACGATGTGTTGCAACATCTTCATTCAGATCTTGATCATCGGTCATTTCATTGGTTGAATCCAAATCACTATAATAATAACGATCTTGACTTGCACGATTATGACGACGTTGATATTGTGCTAAACGACGTGATCTTTGTTTGATATAGTTTTGTTTATTAAATTGAATAGTTTGTTGATTTAATTCATTTTGTTTTTGTTGTTGTTTTAATTGTGTATTAAGTAGTCGTTGTAAACGTTTATAACGTTTAGCAATTTTTCTATTGCTTATCTATAATAAAGAAATTGAGAAACTGATTACTAAGAAGGAGAGTTATTTGTAATAATATATACCAAGTTTAAAAATTTTACCTTGATCTGTAAAAAATGGACATGTTTCTTGAACGAAATCAAAACTCTGTTCATACGAATGTTACCTGACAATTTCATACATTACGTCAATCTTCCACGAAAAACTGAGACTATGTAATTATTTCTTTATAAGGTAACGGATAACATAAGTTAGAACATTTGCGAAGCCATCTTCAGAACCCTAACAATGTGGTTTAGCAACTACTTGTTGAATAAGTGAGACGATTATTTAATAAAATGTAACGTCACGCATCCATGAACCGTTAAACTAAAATCTCATTATTAAATTCTCATTGTAAACGCTATTTATCAAGTGAATACTGTTTCCATTCCTAATTTACGTATGTCACTCTCTTAAATAAAAAGCGTTTTGTACTTGTAACTCACTCAAAATAAAATCTGCATTTATTTGACAGTCATGAAAACATTTGCCTATGTCTGATGTATATAGAGGAGTTTCAAGTTGATCTACCTGCTAGATCACACTTACTGGTTGATAATTGTTCACTTAAAAGTAATATATCAAACATCTTACTAAAGTTTATGTAAGCGAAGTTTCCCCACCAAGATTATTTAAAATTTTAAGTAAGAATTTAATAGAGATAAACTGATAATTTTATGGCTACGTTGATAGGATGGCTTAAGTTTATTATTCGCCTGGTTCTGAGGTTAAAAACTGGCATTAGTTTATTTTATTTAAGTAAAAAAAATACACATTTATGTACGATCAAGGAACTACTTTTAGAAAAAGGCACATTAAACAGAAATCAATTGAAACATGTCAATAGTTCTAACTTTCAGGAGATTTCCAGCACTGACACCTGTTTACATATTTAAGTTCAGATAATTTATTATTGATGTGACATGTAATTATTCGTCAAAGACTGTTGTTTTATTATCACAAAAATAAAAAACTCACAGATTTGAAAAACTCCTCAAAATTAGCAACACAAACATCCAGTGCCTTAAAACGAATAATAAGCATCATGTCAGACAAACGATTCACTGACTGCTTTCACTTAATACACTACTAGATAGCGCTACGGAACAGCAAGGTCTAGAGGCTTCTTTCCATTACACACATGAGGCGCCCTGTGTATCCAGAAGTACGATGAAACCTGTGCTTTCAAATCGACTGCTAGCAATTATTCGAAATGTAATTAACTTTTAACTGCGCGGAAGGTTGAGGCGTTCATTGTGTAAAGATAAATGAGACCTACTATTTAATCTCAACTACAGTAAACTAAAAACTCATAGGGTTATTAATTTTGGGAATGATAAATCCTCAAACACAAGGTTTATATTTTTATTATATAAATTGACCGTCTATTATCAAGGGCGATTTTACATTAATTCTCAGGAGAACCAAGAAGACTGCTCACGTATTAACATTTCGACATGAACAGTTCGGCTCAATCCCACGGTGCAACCACACAGGTACCTGATACCCTAGTGGACCATCAAACACAAAGTGTAAGGAAAAAATCAATCTTAAAAATCTGCATATTGATTTCAAGTTACTTCCAATACATTTTCATTGTACCAATCAAATCAAGGTGACTTTGCGTTCAATATCAATTTTTCAGTATAATAAAGTGTGTTGATCAATATTCATCAAGTAATCAACTTATATTTCGAGTAAACTTGAATATAATTTAATCCTTCTGGGTTTCAACTGAGAGAGCTTCTAGACAAACTTGAACTTTCCGCTTTAAATAGCAAGTAAGTAAGTAAGTAAGAAAAGGATAGAAGCAGTCTGGCTCACTTAATTGACTTTGTATTTTCAAATAACTAATTTAATGTACAACCATATCAAAGTATTAGCACGAAATAATTTGTATCAAGAAACTCAATATTTTATCGTAAAGTAATATCTACGTTTTAAACAAAGCGTTCCGTTGAACTTTCTCTACGACTGAACAGAAAGTGTATAGGAGTCTTTCTAACGGTTGGATGATATTTTATAGCCGTTACTGACTATTTCATAGACAAATAAAAACTTATTTGTCAATATGGTTCATGTGAGTAAAGGCTTGATTATTAAAAAAATAAGAGACAAAACATTTATACCCCGAAGGAATATTGAGGTAAATCGAGAACAATACTTTATCCTTTATCCTCTTCAATATATCCACTATTTGAAAAAAAGATTTTATCATGTATGAAAAATGAGATTTTATTAAGTTAATTGATTTAACAATTAAGGGCGCCAACTCAAGCTGTTATCTCATGAAAAAAAATTTCATCTCCCTATAAACAATCAGATGTGAATACAATGCAGTATTTTGTTTCAATAATTTTTAAAAAGAATGAAAGACAATTATAGATGTCAATAAAAACTTTTGATCATATCTCGACAAGTTTTTCCCAGGAAACTTGATGGACAACATCTATGCGTGCTTCACATTGAAATGAAAGTACCGGAATTCTAATAGAGATAATGAAATGAAAACCGCTTTAAAAACCAATAAAGTTAATTGTCTTATTGGAAAAAAATTATTTTATTTTTCTTAGTATTATTCATTTTACGAATCGATATCACAGGATGTATGAGATACATTGTTAATAGTTTAAGCCAATTAACGAAGGATTCAAATTCCGTAGGTACATTTTCACTTCAGTAAATAAACTATGAAAATTCAACGATCCTCACAAATCTGATATACTGATATTAGTCATTGTACTTACCAGTGACTGGCTTTAGTAAGCAATTCATGAAGTTGAAGTGTGAGAAGCCATGATAAGTGTAGTTTAACTATAAGTTGGGACAGTTATCTACTGAAACCAACTAAAAAAGCTCATACAATACAATATGTACCATACAAAATGTACGCTAGTGGACACGGGGTCAATATTGTAGAGGTCACGTGTTCGGGTGTACTCTCGTAGGTCCTTTCCTCTGGTAGGGTTTTCGATATCTACTGCTTAAGAGTCCCATACTAAAACGAGACAGTTATCCCTGATTTTTAAAGATAGTCATAGTAAAAACTCTGGGAATTCTACAATACCCACACATCCCCCTAAACTAATAAGAAATAATTGTTGCTTTAATCTAGTAAGATTATATTCACACTTTTTTTCAGATTATGTTGTTATAGTTCATGATATAATTATTTTTATCACAAATATTATTCAACTAATCTTATATTATCTCTCCTGATAAGAATAATGAGCTTAGTTTATTATGTCACAGAATAATAGCATGCGTTTTCACGTTGGACTTTAATTAGGGATAGTTAATTTACTTAGAGCATTTTGTTCACATAGCAATACTACTGATTGACTAAATTCTCTCTTTCAGTCAATTACATTTCTATATATCTTCTATTTAGATATTTATCTGTTCGTCATTTCAGTGTGATGATCGATTGAATTCTATATTGGTATTTACAGTTCCTCAGTTATCAATTAGTGTAGATATCCGTGCACAAAAAGAATATGGTCGAAGTCGTAATAGTTTTGTGATAGCCTATTGCAATGTCATTGAGAATGATGTTATTTCGAATCTTGTAGAGAGTGAGAGAGAGAACACTTCCTTCTAGGATTATAGATATGATTTTCAAAGGTTGACAATAACGAATATTTTTATTCTTTTCTTTAAGTGAATTTCAATTGAAAAATTCAATAACATAATGAAACTGTTATTTGTTTATTAATAAAATTAAGGAGAATGAACTAATGTCTGGGGAAAAAATGAATATTAAAAATCATATTTTTCATTGTTATAAATGAATTAAATGCTAGGAACATATGTTATCAAGCATAGTTGGGTAACATTGAAATAATTTTTAAAAAATCCATAATTTATAAAAACTAAATTGAATTTTATTCTTTATACAAGTTCAGAAAGTGATGAACAGCTGTGTGCATGTTTTGAGATTTCACAAAGGTACTCCCACATGGTTCATAAAGAAGTGGGACATAAAATATTCATGTCTGTCCCTGAGTTCACTGTTGCACACTTTCAGTTTCAATCAATTTATGACATAGATCAAGTTGCCAAATATCATATCCTATATAGAGCTAACTGAATGAGTTATGGCTTTTCAAAAGAACTTCCAAAAATCTATTAAGAAGCCAGATACCCAACTCTCAGATCTACTCTAGTGTTCCTCATTAGTCGGTGTGTACTACACTGAGCAATTTAAAACTAATTCAGACTTAAATTACTCAATTTTCATCCATTTTTTAAACTTAGCTTACCTTAATGGTCAGAAATACCTGAATTATTACAATTTATTTAAGTGTACATTGCTTTAAAACTTTAAAAGTTGCCAGTATTTTGTTAGTAAAATAAAAGAATTTTTCAAATCACTTGACTAGAGATAAAATGACCTAATAAATGTATCATTGTAATATTTAAAAGCTAGCTATAAGTTTCACTACATGTACTAGTAAGCTGTGTGAAAAACGAAATATCCCATTCAGTAATCTGATAAGAGAAATAGTAATAGGCTTTCCATCATGTACTGCTTGACGAATCGACGCATAAAGATGTAAAGTGTTTCTTTGAAGTGCATTAGTATTCAGGAACTTAAACTATCAAAGTACTATAATGCGAAAAGAAACTAATCATAAACTAAGTTACAAAGAACATAGACGAAACAACTGAGAAAAACACAATTTTATAAACTTGCATACCGGTGTGATACTCTATAATTTAGAGTTCAGACGAAAGTTTGAGAAATTCTAACCAACTCAACCTACTCAAACTCGACATATTCCCCTTATTCACTAGTTCTTCTATGGGAATACACTTGTAAATTATTGAAAATTCGTAAGTTGACTAATATGTAAAGTTACACATTGTTGAAACCATGAATCGATCAATGTTAGACCACCATTAGAAACCTGGAAGCACTGGACGGCCGCTTCGTCCTGTTATGGGACTCATCTCAAACTTATGATGTAAATTAGTCAATAACTGTGAATATTTCAGGCAGAAACACAAACGTTAGCTAGTTAGTCATGAACAAACTTAATTTGATAATTGAGTAGAAGATGGAACTTTTATGGCTTATTGATAAGTTGGACGTTTTGCGGTGTAATCGGTTTCGAATGAATTAAGGCCAAAATTTGTTAGAGGCTAGCTCTACATTCTATTGTATTGAATAAACCAGGGAATCAAGTGTCGTAAGACGTTATACTTATGTATTAACCTAACTTACTTTACAGAAAATTGTTTTTAGCAAGTGGGATTTGTGAGGATTATTAAATTTCGTAGTTTATGCCGTGGACTGACCTTAGTTAAGCAACCTCAAGAAAACACTGAACAGCTGGGTATGATTGCCTCATATTCACTAATTTCACTAAAAGATGGCTTTTAAAATTAGGAGTCTAAACAACCGGATATTGACTAAGTGTTCTAAAGGTCACATGTTCTCTGTGATCTTTCATGGAAACGCAGATGAGCATTTCTGAGAAATCCCCTGTACCTCAGTTTCTAATGGTTCCCTAACTATGGTCATTCTTTGATACAAAACAGAAAATCACTTGTTGCATACTGATCTACCACAACAATCATTGAATCCAACTGTCTACTGAAACGTACTGTTAATAAAATATATATTAACCTTTGTGAAAACCTGTATCGTAAAGTACAATCAATTGTTAGATATACTCAATAGTTAACGCTTATTAAGTATTAAAACCAATAAATTAATAACTTTTAACCGATAAATAAATATCAATTATGTAAAAATACTTACATTATTATTCAAAGGTTTCAAATTCGTACTATGAGTTTGATCATTTTGATGTGTTTGCTGACTGTTCACAGAATTTATTGATCTCGGTTTACGTTTTAAATATTCAACTAAATTAGGATCACGATGATAAGTAAATAAATGCGGTGCATTATGTAACCAATACGTGGAATCCAATGAATTTTCATTATTTTGATTGAGATTATTCATTTTCAAATAGTTAGACTGTTCAAATTCATGGCTATCCATATCGGTAACATCAAAATCATCAGATGTAGATGAGTTTTTTCTTACTACCGAACGAATTTGTATGACAATTTGTTTATTAGCATCCGTTTGTTGTTGATTGATTTGTTCGATTAAATGTAAAACCGGCTGGCTCAATGGTATATGAAACCATCCATTCGGTAAAATCATTATAGATGATGAATTGTTTCTTGTTTTTTGTAAAATACATTGCATATTATCTGGTTCAAAAATAGCTGCAGTTTGTATATCAACATTACTGTAATTATTCTGTTGTTGTTGTTGTTGTTGTTGATCTGAATGTAACCATAAAGATAATGGCCAATAAAATGATGAACTATTCACTTTACTATCAACAATAGTAACATTATTGATACAAGAAGAAGAAGTTGATTCTGTTGGAATTGTATAATTTGTTGCATACATTTTTGCTTCATATCTTATACGTATACTGGCTGCGATTAATTTCTCATTTGATGGTATATCAGCTAATTGAAATACTAATTTATGTTGTTTAATTGTATGATGATGCGTTGTTTTAGAGGAATTCAAGTCTAATGACTCCTCCTCTGTATGACGTTTACTACGATAGAGTGGATGTAAATTTGATTCACTACTTTCATAGTCTTGAGTTTCTAAACGAAAGAAAAGGAAATAAAAACAACTATGATAAATCCAATAACATTCATTCATAAAGTAAATTACACTAATCTGATAATGTTAACTGGATTTATCTTATTCCCAGTTCATCGCATAAAATTTTCATTGATGACATTATTTTGTACTGTCAGGAGTTGCAATAATCTCAAGTTCATTTTTTCTGCGTTAAAGAACTAGAAGTAAGCCAGAGAGTAGTAAATATCTGTTTTTACACATTTGAAATCATCAATCAATCATTGTTAGACCACCATTAGAAAACTGGAAACACTGAAAGACGGCCGTTTCGTTCTGGTATGAGACTCATCAGTGGCAGTGCGCACCCACAACTCCTGCTCGTCTCAGGATTCGAACGCGGGGCTTTCGGTATTGTGCGCCAACGCCTAACCATCAGACCACTGGGCCGGCATCCAACGGTGTTAATGTCTAACTCTGATTGATTTAAGTATTTTGCGTGACCTCACCCATTTATCTTTGGTAGTTACTGCCTACACCCGACAGGGTAGAACTCCATTGGTCACGTCTTCTCAACTAGAATTCAGAGAATTTCCTCACAACTGTAGGCATCCTTGGTTAATATTATCTTTGTGTTTTTCAGGTGCTAAATGACACCCGAAATCTTGGTGTTCAGTCATGAGTACGGTTGTGGATGAGGATTGTGAAGGCGCCTTAAAATTTAAAAAGATAGTTCTTCATCGATTTCTCGTTTCCAATATTTATCAAGTTGATGTTGATCAGTGAAGAAATTTATCTTCCAATTATAAGTAATTTTCATCAATCATTCAATTAGATTTTACATCACAACTTTAACAATATATAATTAAAAAAATGAACATAATTCCCAAAGTTCATCGAATCAAATCATCGTAACGCAAAAATTACTAGTTGTCTGAATTAAAAATTATTTCATCAAACACTTCACTTCTATTTCATATTGAAATAAAATGATATTGTCCTCTAAGCGGAAAAATAAGACCACCATATTACCTTATAATAAATATCCAATATCACTTATTTTCAATCTGAGTGAAAGATTTTTTTCTCTCTCTCAAACTATTAGTTTACTAATTATATTTATGATAGTTGAATCAAGCGTTTTGTTTTGTTTCGGTTTTTTTCTCGGGTGACGACCAATCAGTACTAATAAGACAAAGTCAAATTGATGTTTAGTTGATTAGAAGACTTCAACAAATAAACAAACAAACAACTAGAGGAAAAAAAACTTAATAGGATCAAAGCAAAATATGTAAACAAAAAGGAAATTAAGACAAATGCCTTTTTTTTGTTTTTATTCAATTAACTATAACTTTCTCACCGAAAAAACTAAGGAGCAAATAACTATACACCATTAACTACAAAACGAGCAAGGAAAAACAAAAATCTCTCTTCTACTGACTAATTATAATCTTAAACGCATAAATATATGCAAACTTGTATGATTCTACTACTGATAAGTAGAATTTTATTTACTTCAAATATTGTTCATTCATTATTTTACATAGTCAGGGCTATATATATATATATATATATATATATATATATATATATATATATATCACGCTACAATTTTACTCCCACATGAACGAATATTATAATTCAAGTAATATAATAATAATAATAATAATGATAATAATAATAATAGTAATCATGATAATGATACTGAGTAAAAAGATTTACTAAATAAAATTATCAGTTATTATTTATCTTGCGGAATAACAACCGCATTAAATAATTAAACAGATTTGCGTAGATATCAAAAACAACATTCTCAGACAATAAAAAACCGGTAATTTAATGAAACATTTCAATTTGTAGCATATAATAGTGGATAGATTAGTTAGGATTAAAAAGGTTGGTGCGCAAGCACAAAAATAACAATCAATATCATTCATTGAAAGCCTAAGATATAAGAAACATTTTTAAGATTTCTTGTTTTGACTGAATTCAATTAGGATGGAATTCAATTCTGTTTCGCTTTAATATGATGCGAAAAAGGGCATTTCAAGTTTTTTTAGATTAAGGTTGGTTGTTTATTGTACATCTTTGCCTCCATATTCAAGCATCAACAATCGTCTGTACCATTTTTCAACACAGAACTATTCTTTGTAAAGCATTAAAATTCATAAATCAATTATTTGAGAATGCTTTGGTTTGGAAGATGCATCACCTTACTTTTAGGGACGTTAGATCGCCAGAATTCACTTGATAAAGGTCCTAAGTTTGGATTTTATGTTTTAGCGCATGAGCTGATCAGTAGACCTTGAGATTACATTTCCCACTTGAAAATCTTTGACTGTTATTGGTTGATGTATTATTTGAGTATGCTATTTTTGTACCTCTCCCAAAGACGTTTCTATCATGTAGAAATAAACTCGATTTGTGTATTCGTAAACCTCAATTTCTGCGAGCTTGTAGAATACACTTTCTACGCCATATCAAGACTTTCGTCTACTTAGTAGGGCCTTGGGACGCTCGGATTAGAATAGCCTATCGTGTCACTGGATCATTGTCTTCGCTCTCGTTTACCGACTAAACGTGAGCTTGTAATAGTTTCAAGCAAATCAATTGACGAGCATAACACTTACGATATTAGATACTTACTTTTCATATAAAATAATCAAGTCTGTCAAAACCCAGTTTGAAAAGAAAATGATTCTCATAGTAGGAAATTAAACTAATTGTTTAAAAAAAAGTGTTGTAGAATACTCCTGATGAACTACACGATAAGAAAGAATAGCTTTTAAGAAAATCCCAAAATTCAATGAAATTTTAGTTAATATCAAGTTTCATTTTTGTGTTGTTTTAGTTTCCTAATAATAAAGATGTTTGCTTATGTGTTTCATTAAATTTAACTGTGTAAATACCACATCAGTTGAGGTAGAAGCTTCAGGTTAAAATGGCCAGGGGAGCAACAACCCATTTCGCTGTTCTAAAAGGGGTTATTTCAAGTGTCACAGAAGATTTTAATAACGAGGTTGAAAAGGTATTTTTGAATAATATCCAGTCAGATTTAGTTGTCCGATCCAGAGCAATTTTTGGTTGAATCACTAACCAGCAACACTGTTAAGTTACATTTAGACCAGAAACCAGCGTCCAATGAAATATCAGATGTTGTGTAAGACAGTATTAACTTTCACGGTGAAAATATTGTGTTAAAATATCAGGCTTCCACGTCACTTATTCCATGTGATTAATCTCGCATATTCAGCTCAGAGCATTTTCTATCTATGAGTTTCAATAACTGTAAAATGTTACAACTTTAAAATTCATTTTCTAAAGCATGGAAATAATGAGTCGTCAGTATCCACCCAAAATTGTTTATAGACCTTCCAAGTTTTAATGTATGGACGAATGCCTATACAAATAAAGAAGATACTACTTAGTCAAAGTGTACAAATCTGATTGCCAATTCGACTACGAAAGTTGTAAACAAATTAGCATATGAATAAATCTTTGAAGGTCAACCAGCCACCGATTTTCACTATATGCAGTCGGTTCTGGACAGTAATTCATTGTAATTAATCAGGAGTAGGTTGGAAGCAGTCTAGGGGTGGCCAGACCAAAACATGGCAAAAATTCATGGAGTCACTGACAACTGGATTGTGTCATGTTGTCAAGCATAGACTACCTGGTTGGGGTCCGCGAGATCATAGTAATCGACAGTTAGAGACCTTAAACGACATGGTTCAAAACCGTTCGCAATGACACAGGCACATCCAGTCTTTGTGTTCTATGAAAGTCTAATCTGAATTCCTCATCACCTCTATCTTCCTCTTTCTAAATTCATTTCACTGAATTACACTTCTTGAATAATATCTTCGAACCCGCTAATACTTCTACTCTCTACCACTATGGGATTTGATTTGACTACTATGTCTATGTCTTAATGTGGTATGGCAACTTGAACTCATATACGTACGTACGACGTTCTACATTGTAACTGACTGACTGACTGACTAATTTCCCACTTTAAATACTAATGCTAGAAACAAACTCGTATGTAATTTCAAAAGCCTAACAATAAATGTATGTAAACGATTGGGAAGTTTTCTTCAGTGTTAAGAGTAACATATGGGTGGTTTAAAACAATTTATACAGTAACTCAAACATAATTAAGCATTTTAAGAAAAGGAACGATTCTTTTATTTGTTCACTATGCTAACTTTTTTCCCCCTAGATTTTCCACTAAATTAAAACGATAAGCAAAACCAGAATACAACAGTCGACAAAATGAAAAATAACATGAAGTCATTTTGTGTAGATGCGTAAAAACAAGCTACACTAATTAGAACATTTATATACAACAATTTGTCAATGAAAAGTATGCCTTACTTATAAAAAATAATATTTTATCAATATAGGGAAACAAAATATTTCATAAGATTTCTTATTCGAAAATAATGCTGAAAAAAGGTTATTTCTTTCCAAGATTGCATTGAAAAGCAGCAAAGATGTACAAATTTGGCAAAGTTTAGAAACTTTTGTCAGAAAAAAATTAGTGGGCCACTACTACCAATACACGAAATACCATAACTCAAAAACAAAAGATAAATCTCGTTAGTTTACCTTTTAAATGTTAAATTACCTACGTTAATATTTGAACGACAATCAAACCAAGCATAATTAAAACAGTAAGTGGACAATTTTAAAAACCTGAAGTTCTTTTGAATTATTTCAGACAACTTAAAACTGATTGTTGCTAAAATCCACCTAGTTGGGATGATTTTTTTAACGCAAAGAACATAAACTATCAAATCAATGAAAATAAGAATTTGTGTTTAGAAGATTCTCTCTAATTAGAATCTAAATTAACATCTACTCATATTGTTATATGGGTTTATTGGGTTGCTTAATCAAGTTGATTCTAAATAGTCATAGCCATAATACTCTACTCATGGTGTTTAATTGATTTTTATATAGTTTCTTAAATGATTTGATAGATTTGGTTACCTTGCAGTCTGAAGATTATTCTCATTTT